GCGCCTGGAAACAACAGAACAGGGTGCCATTTTAAAATTTATTTGAATGAGAGGCAAAACAAAATACATAAAAGAAATAATCTATTAAGGCAAGTATATGAATTTTGAAGGGATATAATTTATCAGAAAGCAATCGAAGTCCAACAAAAAGTAGACATGGACACAAGGTAGTTCAGCAAATTAATCTGCAACAGGCCTATGAAAATATAAGTTAAAGCAGATGCTTTTGTTTAAGTTAAAAGAGTACAGGCAAAAACAACTTTAGATCTCAGCAACAAAGCCTACTATTGTAGACCATGTTGCTGAAGTTTTGAATCAGCTACACATCCATCCAATAAAACCACACGTGAGTCCATTAACCAGTCTTTGATGCATCAATAGTTTCATTGTTGAAATGATCCTTAAACAGAGTGCTTATTCATGTCATCAGCCTAGATGAGTCTTCGTCCTTCAACTAATACCTACTTTGACATGAATGGACAAACTATCCACATTTGCTAAAACCCAGGGCCAAGGGAACACAACATATTAATTGCACAACGAATTTGCTGAGATATGTCCAGAACTAGCCAATGATGTTTTGAGTGGAACAATTGAACAAATAAGAGACAGTAGACCCGAAAACACTAAGCATTACGCAAATTTTGGTGTAAAAGACCAAACTGATTTGATCCCCACCTTCAGTTACTAACAACAAGGGGTCCATGTAACACAAAAGATAAGAATAGTGGACGTACTTTGGTTGTGGAAGAAATCTTGCAAGAGGTAAAAGCTTGTTTGGGTCAATGTAGAACTTATCACCCGGCACATAAGAAGTTGCTACAATCCCTTCTAACATTTTGATCGAAAAATACTGCATCCAAAAGAAAACCCCAATCAATCTAAAGCTGAATAGATAATGCAAGGATTTAGAAGGCGAAGAGGATTATGAAGGGAAGCAGACTTACAGACTCATTTATGGGACCGAAGATTTCATCAACTTTCCCTATCTGGGTCTTGTTCTGCAGATAGATTGGACCATTAAAGTACGGTATTTTCTCATTAGTGAGCTTTGTCACAGCATCACCCTCAAATGCATGAAGAACTGGAGAAAGCTCTGCATAATAAAAAGCTCAAATTAGCATTAAATTGCTGCATTTGAGAAAGAAACAACACAGGTATTAATCAAAGAAAGCTCTTTCTCCTAATGAAGCTTGAACGAACACAGAAAGAAAGAGATTTTACAGTAAGGACCAAGAAAAGGGTACAAGGAACAAACCTACAACTTCAGCAGGAGGTCCTTCATCGCGAAACCCACCGCCTCCACGTCAACCTCCCCCGCCGCGACCACCTCCTCGGAAACCCCTCCCACCACCACGTTCGCCGTCTCTTCCGCAACTAAAGTTACCGCCGTCTCTTCCGCAACTAAAGTTACCGCCGCCTCTCGGAGGTCGCATGGTCTCTGTTTGTGAAGCAAGATTCTCGAACTTTGGTGGTCGCGGCGGGTGGCTTGAAGGGTGTTTAGGGTTCATTAGATTGCAGAAGATGAAGGGCAGCAGGGGTAGGGTTTAGCGAAAGTGTTTTTTGAGAGATTAAATTACCAGAATCTCCCTCAACTTTCTCGTAATTCGCAGCCTCAGATGGCCCCAGGCCCTGCCAACTTTCTCCTCAGGCCTTTGGTTAGGCCCATAGGCCTTCAGTTCAAAAAAAGATGGCCCATAGGCCTTTATTTTCTTCTAAAATTATTTATTAATTTTTAAAATTGTATCAATTTTTGTCTATCTAATACCTATTTTATTAGTTCGACTGACAAAAGTCTATATTATTGCTTACTTGGCGTTGTGTCAGTTACCATGTAAGCAATATGTGGCTTGAAAATAGAGGAAAATTTTCCGTTTCTTTGTTTTCTTAATCTATTTAATAAAAAATAATTAAATTATAATCTAATTAAAACAAAACTCAAATAAAATAACAAAAATAAAAATTTTCAAGCCACATGTTACGTGGTAACTTAGGTGGTGCCACATAAGTGATGATGTGGACTTATATTAATCTCAATAACGGAACTGTGTTAGGTAGGCAAAATTAAAAAAATTTAAAAATTAATATATGATCTTAGGAGAAAATAAAAATTTTAGACTAAAATAAAAAAAAAAAGTAATTAGTAAATGATTTCTTAAATTAAGGCACTGCTTCGCTTGGGAAAGATTTCATGGTACAGTTGAGAAAATTTTGCTGTACGGTTGGGTCTTGTTTAATTTAGCAATTAGAGCTCACTTAATGGTTAATAATTAATATTTAATATTTGATGTTTCATAGATATTTCTTCTTTTTTAAGTGAAAATGGTATATTTATTCTTTTATTTTTAATGATTATTAAAATGAACCCCTATAATATTTCTTGAAATAAATCTCCTTTCACATACTTTTAAATTAAATAAAATTAGACCTTATGTTTCAATTGAAATAAATTAATCAAAATTTAATGGATAATGTAATCAGAAGTCATAATTTTCAATTTCTTCTTCAATTCAATACCTATTAAGCTCTTGTAAATTTAGCAATTTTGGGGCCAAATTTTTTAAAGACATGACATTTCTTTTTTTGGATATCAAGTTAGTTAACAAGAAAGTGTTCACTCAGCTCATTTGACTACCTCAAAAGAAAATTCCATTTAATAAAAAAATTAAGTCCAAAATTATTAAATCAACAAGAGTTTATTGGGTATTGAATTAGGGGAAGGATGGAACTATGACACATGATTATGCCTTCCATTAAATTTTTGCTAATTTATTTTAACCAAAATGTAAGAAAGTTGATTTTATTCAATTTGAAAGCATTAGGAGAGATTTATTTCAAGAAAAAAAAAAGAATTTATTCTAATAATTACTAAAAGTAGAGAGGTAAATATATTATTTTAGTTTTTTTTTTTAATGATATTGGATTATATACAATAGAAGGTCAATATTCACACTTTAAATTTTCAATTTAAAATCTCAAATTTTTAATCACTTTAGACACTTTCTTACATTAATATTTTATATTTGTTATTTCTAATTCAAATACTCTAATTTGTTTGGGTATCATTTATTCCCTAATAATAAAACCAAATACAGTCTTAGAAACTTTTAAGAAAAGTTTGTTTAAATTGTTAATTTTAAATTGCCCACGACCTACATATACACAAATTAGATAGTTATGTACCGATTCTCAAAATTGGCTTTCCACAATTTTAAGATTTCTTATACACAAATTAGTCATCTATGCCAGGATTATGGAAACATTAGGAAACTATCACAACAATCAGTTTCGATATTCTTTACAACAAAAGACAAAGCAACACATATAAGTTGCAGAAACACAAGTCGGGTCCTCAATCTACATATAGCATTTAACAGCAGTAATACTTAAGAGAAAAAGAAAATTGTGAAGAAAGCAATTTACCTAGAACTCAGTTCAGATGAAGAGAAGTTGTGATCTCTCAATTAGAATTTAAAACAGGATGCCTGTGTCTGCTACTATTTGGTGACCAGCCTGGCTCTTGCATGGCTTGGAGATATCTGGCACTGCTCAGTGAGGCCAAAGTGAGCCATAAGAAGCCATACATGGGTTAGAAGTTCTCCACCTCTTCTCAGCTGCTGACCATGCTGACTATCCCTAGAGTGACAAGCGGCATAAGCTAGCAGCTCCAACCACATATCTCTCATTAGATCCCATTTAATCTTTGGATCTGATATAGTATTCAACCTTGATGCCAACCTGCAAGCCTCAAACAACACAGATTAATTTGCTGCTGTCGCCTTTGACTTTGCTGGGTGGAACGTCTGTTTTCACTTTAAGCAACAACTCGCAGGCCTTAATTCTTCTTTTCTCAACATCTTCAACACTGGAACAGGAACTAGTAGGCATGAACAGAGCCGGGAAATTAGGTTGAGGGAGCAAACTTTAAAGTCACAAAATAATATCCCATATTTCACCAATAGAGTAGCCAAAAATTTAAGCCAAGGGAAACATATTAACTTTTAATGTCATAAATAGTATATTAGATTAGTGTTTATCAAGTGAGACTCTAAAAAATTAGGAAAAAAACACTTAAATTATGTTGTTTCAATAAAGAATTTTTTTTAAAAAGCTAAAATAATCACATTCTTGCTTTAAAAGATAGATTATTTTATTTTTTTAATGAAAATTTATTTCAAGAATGTAAGTTTTAAAAGTTTTTTCTCTTAATTTTTTAGAGGTGTAACAGATAAATATTTTTTCCATAGTATATTACCTTTCACAAAAATTTATTTACACAATAAACTAAGATAACAATGCACATGTTTTCAAGTTACAAAATTTGTTATGTAATGGAGAATATGCACTAAATGTCTCAACAACCTTTTTTCTTTCAATATAAACAATTAAAAAAGTTTGAAAGAATTTTTTCACATCCTGTAATTTCCAAAAGGGAGACGTTTTATATAAGAGAGCCAAAAACAACAAAGAAATTTTGCACATATTTTTCAGTCATCTAATTTCAATTCTCAACAATCAAAGAAAAAAAAAAAACGAAGAAGGGTGGAGGAATCTAGCAAAGGAAAAAATACAAATATGAAGTGAAAAGAATTCACCTAAAAATAGAAGGAAAATGCTAAAAATGCATCGACTTCCATAAACCTAAAAGATTCTTAAAATGCATAATATCTACTCAAAACAAAGATTTAATTTTCAATACAAATAATGAAGATAATGTGTGGGTTACCCTCGGAGGGTTTGGAGTCTTTGCTGAGAACTATGAAAGAAAAAGAAAAAGTATTTTATAATTTTTATTTAAAGTTTTGTGGGGCACTGTAATTGCCATGAAATACTTCCGTTTCTACTGAACTTCTGAACTTAACGGAAGGACTAATAAGATTAGTGCTAGAAACATTGGGGACAAAATGCAGAGCAAAATGAAGGTTAGCATTTAAAATATCCCATGCTAGAAAGATTGAGGACTTACAGGGGAGTTTACCATTTTTTTCTCAGAAGTGTAGGGAGGGCAGCTGCCCAACCGCCTTCATCTGAGGTGGTAGGCATATTCTCCTTGACGAATTTCCTGGCATCAGCACGAGTGTGCCGGATCCTCATAATGTCAATCCTGTCAGACAACAAGGACGGACGAATGACTAGGAGATAACACATGTATCTTGACATGTGCAGACTGAAATCTCTACTTAATTTGACATCATCAGAAAGGTTTTCTGAGTAGTAGCAGATATCTGTAGCCATGTGCCAGGTAAGGATGCTTTGGTCAAATTCAACACTTATACTCCATTCAAGGTCAACCTGACCTATCTTTTCCTTGTATTTATCAAGTCTGCCTTTTCCTCTTTGGCTGCAGACCTCCCAAAGAGCTGTCTCAAGACTGCTTGTACTTCTCAGCTCCTGTTCTTTCCTTGGTATCTCAAATTCCTCAGACTTCTTTTTGACATGGTAAAAAATCAGCTCCCTATATTTCCTAGAGAAATTATTGATTTCTTTATACCGAAATTCTTCAATAATTTTAAGGCTAAGTTTTTCTGAGACTGATCCATAGTAGACTATACTGTGCAATAGAATTTGACCACCTAAGCACCTTAAACCACTTAAACCATTCTTCAAAAGAATTCATGAATTACGTAATGCTAGTCATCCTCTTCTTAATCAACCAAACTCTGGTTTGATCTGAGGCAAGGACAATAAGGGCTGCATATATCTCCAGGAAAATAGCAACGACAAGCAAAAGTAAAGTGACCACAAAATCAGTCCTGTTATGCCTGAACTTATCATCAAGGATAAAAAACGTAAACACTAGGCAGGTGAGGAAGAAAGTGATGAAGCGTCGAACAAAACCCCAGGGAGTATAAATAGCCGGTGCCTTTGTATACACCAGATCATACATGAATCCTAGTTCAATCTCGATCACATTGAAAGCGTTTTCATCGAACAGTTCCATGAACAAGGCTTGGCTTCTGTCCCTGTTGGAGCTATGGCATAAAAGCTGAAAATGTAGTCAAATGAGATCTGCTAAATGATGCTGCAATATGACTGCACAGTAGCAGCGAATGACAGCAGCATGCAGCTTCACATGGGCTACAAGAAATGGCAGAACACTTCATCATTTTAGTCAATGTTTTAGGTAGTTAATAATTATAGTTTAGGTAGAAAAATATTATTGTTTTATGTGTAGCCTTCCTCTATAAAAAGGAAGAAAGAAATTGATGAAAATTGAGAGAGAAAGAGAAATCATGGTTTCTCCTCTCCGGTTGGATGAATGTCTACACCCTTCCATGTGTTGGAAAAATAGGGGGTTAGAAAATACATCATTAGATCATTGGCTTCAAGGCGTGCTGCAAATGCCACTTTCCTTCAGGCTAATTTCGCCCCTACCAGATCTGGTATGCAAAAGGGGTAACCCGAAATGTCCATAGGATACAATGAAGCGCCTTGTTGATCTAGCCTTTGCACTAGCAAGATCAACCATTGAACCATCCTTTGGAAAGCGACAAAACAATAGTTTTTGTATAGAGATTTCTAGAGTAATCGCAATACAAAAAGGGGCTATTTTATTTAGATATTTTTGGGTTCAAATAAAGTCCACCAGAGAAGAAGAGATAACTTCATATTTATAAGGAAAGATGTATGTTGGAATAGACACTTCCTTTTAAGATGTCTATTGGGAACAAACACTTCTTTTCAATTTTTATCCATTAGAAACTCTTCCAAAAGTCATTTGGTTTGATTTGAATTCCAACTCACGTGTTTCCTTGCCTTTCAAAGTTATCCACTGTCTTCAGAAACTTATTTGAATTTTATCTCTTATTCTGGCGTAAATGGTTCGAACCAGATAAATGTGGTTCGAACCAAAATCGTAAATTTTAGAATTCTGGTTTTACGTAAATGATTCAAACCATATAATTATGGTTCGAACCAAAGTTAAACTTTCTCAAATGCATTTTATGCAATTGCTTCGAACCAACATTTTATGGTTCAAACCCAAATCCTGGAAATATTTTGAAAATTCTTCAACATTCCCCCACCATTTTCAAAATAGAATAGCCCACCAATTGTTTTGGAAATCTTATGCATACATGAAGGTATCTTACGATTTGAACCTTTCACTTAGTGAACATGTGTTGGCAAATTAATCAGAATTACATGGTAGACTAATGCTTTGAACCAGTGATTCTAAGTGATTAATTGGGCACATGTCACACACAAGACTTCAAGCTTTCCAAAAAAGGAATTCAGCATCCACCAACACAAAAACTGACCATGTGTCTTGTATCCTTTTCATGAGTGTTGTTAGAGTCAAGTCCCTAACTCCTAGAAGTGGCACCACTTCCACTCATATAGGTAGATCCCATCAAAAGTGCCACCACATTGAGCACTTCAATAGAAATATGTTATAGGACCTATTAAGAGTAAAACTCATCCTCCTTTTTGTTTCATGTGGTTACCAAGTACTCTTCCACTTGGGATGGTATTATTGATAAATTGAGTACTTGCAGTCACATTCATATGATGTACTTTACTCATTGAACTTAAGACTTGAAGTTTTTATCAAGTGTTAAGTCGAGGTTCCATCATGTGTGACTTTGTCAATGGACTTGAGACCCATCCCTTTCTTTGTCTTGTGAATTTTTCCTTTTGATAATCCTTTTAATCAAGGATTCATGAAGTTAATTCACACAAGACCTTGCAAAGATTATGGTGATCACCTCATTTAAGAATGTCTTTATAAGCACTTGATGACATCCTATTTTTTTTTTTTAGTTATCATACACATTCATATAAGAATGTCTTAAGATAATATGAACTCTTGAAAAGTGTAGACATCTCCAAGAACAAGCGCTATCACTTTTTCTCAGGAACAAGTGTTGTCACTTTTAAACAGTGCCATATAATCTTATAATATCATGAACAAGTGGAATTCTTGCTTCCTCCACTTCAAATTAAATTTTATTTGCTTTTCATGTGTCAAGGACTTTTAGTCCTTATTCCTCTCACTCTTGGGATTGTTCCCACCATTTTAAATATTGTTTGTCAATTTTATGACATTTACATTCTTCATGAGAGGCACATTAGGACAGTCAAAAATGTTTCAAATCTTCTTGATACTTTCTGAGTTTCCTACGTAATTGGTTTGAAACATCTTTGAGTGATTTGAACCAAAAATTATGGAACAACTCAAATCATTAGATTCATTTTCCATGACCAAGAGCTATTCACTCTTGCTGTTTATAGGATTCTTTAAATCCATATTTCTTTATCTTTTGGACCATCTTTCCAGGCTTCCAAAAATTAGTCAAGTGCACAAGGTTGCACTAGTTTCTACAAATGATCTCATTAAGAGATAGCATTTAAACAAGGATTCAAAATCCTTCATGACTTATCAAAACTGAGAGCCTTTTTACTTGGCGTCTTTTCTCTTAGTTTATACTAAGACCATCAGTTGGATCTCCAAATGGGTTTGCCAAATCCCATTTTAGTATTTCTTTCTTTAACATGGCTAAAGAACCATCATGAGACTTGATTCTCACTTGTTTCACTATTCATATGCTGGTATATAATCTTACAAGCATAAATAAAAGGCATCAAAAGTAACAAGTAGAAATATGCTTTAAGCAACCTTTCATTAATGAAACATGACCAGATTCATTAGTCTCTTATATTTCCACAAGCCTTATATTAAAAACAGTAATCATGTTTAACACATGTACAAAACTCAATGATTTTAACTAAAACTGTCATATACATAAACATGCTTATAACATAATCCAAGTAAAGGAAATCTCATTGACTTTAATAAGCCTTAAGCAAACCTTAATAAGATCAGGTCTAGAAGTAAGATATACTACTTAAACTCCATAAAGCTTCATAAGTATTCACCAAAGAATAGTAAATAATCATTACTAAATGAAAAGAAAAACAGAACTTTATTTTTATCACATTAGTAATCTCAAAATCAAGGCACAATCATGATCTTAAAACATGATCATATTCAAATCCATAAATATCTTCCTTCTCACAGCCAAGAACCGTGCTATCAAGTCTGAGATTTATTTAACCTCCAAATGGGATTTACAGACCCATTTTATTTCTCTTGCTTCATTGTGCCAAATGATGTTTAATTATGAATCTTTGCACAGTCATTTGCATCTTTGATAACTTCTTTGAAGCCATTCTCCAAGAGATGTTTTCTCCTCATATTTAATTAAATAGATACAAGAGATAAGCATGGATGAACAGCCTGTGAAACAATATCACTAAATGCAATGTTTCATTCAAAGAGATTTGATACATAATGATATGAAACCATCACTCAAACTTGAAGAATTAATTTCTAAAACTAACTCATGTAATTAGATCATGAGCATTGTTTTTTCCTTTATAAACCCACTCAAAATTTGTTTGCAAAACAAAATCATATGAAAAATTCATGCCAATCAAGAGCATGAACTTATTTTGCGTACCTATTCCTCTTGTATTGAGTTTCAATCTGTCTGCACTTTGTTTTCCTTTTGCGTTGATATCATGCATCATCATCGCCTTACAATTTAAAAACTTTATTTGCATCTTGTGGTTGATTCATCTACCGTCACTCATTGACAATTTGATTACACGATTGCTTTGTCACACGATTGTTATAATCAATTTAATAAACCACCACTTTTGTAGATGGGTTAATCACACCAGAAATCCCTTTTCCTTTTGTCATTATTGCACACCAAATCTCCTTGGCTTCACATGCATTTTGTAGCGCAAGTTTCTTCTCAATTATCCAGTAAGCCATGATCTCAAAAAACTGGAAAGTTAGCCTAAAGATTGTTGGAGAGATAGGGGGTTAGAAAATAGATCATTAGATCATTGGCTTCAAGGCGTGCTACAAATGCCACTTTCCTTTAAACTAATTTCGCCCCCACCAGATCTGGTATGCAAAAAGGGTAACCCGAAATGCCCATAGGATACAATGAAGTGCCTTGTTGATCTAGCCTTTGCACTAGCAAGATCAACCATTGAACCATCCTTTGGAAAGCGACAAAACAATAGTTTTTGTATAGAGATTTCTTGAGCAATCGCAATACAAAAAAGGGCTATTTTACTTAGATATTTCTGGGTTCAAATAGACTCCACCAGAGAAGAAGAGATAACTCCATATTTATAGGGCAAGATGTATGTTGGAATAGACACTTCTTTTCAAGATGTCTATTGGAAACAAACACTTCTTTTCAATTTTTATTCGTTGGAAACTCTTCCAAAAGTTATTTGGTTTGATTTGAATTCCAACTCACGTGTTTCCTTGCCTTTCAAAGTTATCCACTCTCTTCAGAAACTTATCTGAATTTTATCTCTTATTCTGGCATAAATGGTTCGAACCAGATAAATGTGATTCGAACAAAAATCGTAAATTTTCAGATTCTGGTTTTACGTAAATGATTCGAATCATATAATTATGATTCGAACCAAAGTTACACTTTCTCAAATGCATTCTACGCAATTGCTTCGAACCAACTTTTTATGGTTTGAACCCAAATCTTGGAAATATTTTGAAAATTCTTCAACACCATGTTCATGGCTTTATGTTCTATGTTATGCTGTGTTCATTCTGCTGTAAATAGTAGAATATCAATGGAAGAAAATGGGTTTGACCTGACCAAATGAGGTAACTCCAAGGTGTCTCTCTCCTTCTCCTCCAAGTTCTCTCTCAACCTTTCCTTCTTACCCTAAAAAATCCAACATGGTATCAGAGCTGAATTCTTGAGGGACCTGTGAGAGTTTGTTTTTTGAGGGAACACCAGAAAAAACCGCACCTTTCTCATTGTTTTTAGACAGTTCTTCATGTGAAACCCCTCTTGCTTGGCCAAAGTCTTGCAGTAACAAAGGCTGTGAAGATGGAGGCATATGTTAGTCCCACCATGGGAGATGTCAAGGAGAGGAAAGCTGGATTCAAAGAGAAGGTGTTCATGTTTGTTTCCAAAGTCAGTCCAAAGGGCAAGTCATGGTTGTTGGAATGGGAAACTGAGCACAAAAAACTCAGTTCCATGGTATGTTCTTCATCCATCTTTTATGTTTGCTATGGATACATTTTGAGTTTTCCCAAGAAAACTCTTCATGGATGCGGCTTTGAGGCTCTAAATTCCCACGGCTTCATGGCAAAGAATGTTTGATGGAGATGATGACAAAGGAAAACTGAGCACATCTCAGTTTCATTCTTTGTTCTTCAACCATCTTTTATATTTGTATTTCTGAATGTTAAGAGTTTTTTCATTAAAAAAAAAAAAAACCTCTTCATGTTTATGTACTTGTGAACCCTATTGCTTTATGGCAAAGAAGTTTGATGGAGGAGCAGCCAAGACCAAGCACAAAATCACAACTCCAGAAGGTACTGAAGCAGCAAAAATCCGGACAAAGCTGCTGCAATGGTGGAGTTGCTGAAAATTTTTAAGGCTCCAGAATTTGTTCAACAACAAATAACTAACGAAGATGAAGCTGATTTGCAAGAGGAGCTAAAATATTTGAGATGGTACTTGGCAGCAAACAACAAACCAAGGCACAAAGAACTGAAAATGGCAGATTCAATGTGCTAAAGTAAAATTGTGTTTCTGTAGCTTTAATGCCAAGGAGGAGTTTGTTGGAGCCATGGCATGAAAGCTGAAAATGCAATGAAATGAGATATGCTAAATGATGCTGCAATATGACTGCACAGTAGCAGCAAATGACAGCAGCATGCAGCTTCACATGGGCTACAAGAAATGGCAGAACACTTCATCATTTTAGTCAATGTTTTAGGTAGTTAATAATTATAGTTTAGGTAGAAAAATATTATTGTTTTATGTGTAGCCTTCCTTTATAAAAAGGAAGAAAGAAATTGATGAAAATTGAGAGAGAAAGAGAAATCATGGTTTCTCCTCTTCGGTTGGGTGAATGTCTACACCCTTCCATGTTCATGGCTTTATGTTCTATGTTATACTGTGTTCATTCTGTTGTAAATAACAGAATATCAATGGAAGAAAATGGGTTTGACCTGACCAAATGAGGTAACTCCAAGGTGTCTCTCTCCTTCTCCTCCAACTGCTCTCTCAACCCTTCCTTCTTACCCTCAAAAATCCAACAGTCCCGGTCATGATAGCTAAGGATTAGATCCGCAAACAAACTCTTGAATGTCTGAAATAAGGCATCAGCTTTGACTAAATTAAGTTTGCTTTCAGCAGGCACTGTTACATCCAAGTTAGCCTGACCTCCCTTCATCTCTATTATTTCCACGAAATATCCCTCCGCCGCTTTTATGGCATATTTTTCCATAAGTTTAGTATATCTTAGGTCGGAATCTGGAGCAGGGAGGATACTACCTCGGAGTTTGTTCTTGCTTGCTTTCCATAGGGCCAATGTTCTCTCCCCATACTTGATGGAGCCCACCAGTATCATTACAATGGATAGGTAAGAAAGATTAGAACTTGTCCAGGCAAGTAACAAGATGTAAAGTGCGGCAGTTGTCTGGACTATTAGCCCAAAGAGGTGCCTGAGATACAACTCATTATCCTCTAAGGAATAGGCTGTAATTGTATCCGGACCACTTAAATGCAGTAGGAAAAAGGGAGCCCAGAATGCTTTGAGCTCGTTAGCCACATTAATATGACCTCCATCATCATATATCTGCCCCAAGTCATTTGATAGGATGCCAAGGGCAATCGTTGCTACGGAGTTAGCCAACATGTAGGCAAACCAAGCAACAAATCTAACCCAAGTCCCACTGCATTACTTCCTGCAATTGCCGGATGAAATGAGAACTATTTGAAGTGTAAGGCTGAACAGAGCTGCCTCAACGAGCTCCCATTTCTTCCAGAGTTTCCTCAAGTGAGTAGGAAAAACCTTGATCATCCTTCGCCTTTTCATCAAAATCAGGCTAGAAACAACTGAAAAGGCATAGCAAAAATTAGACTTGGTTATAAAATTCTTCAAAGACAGTTTTAGATGGGGGAAGGAAAAAGATAGACCAATGGAAACTAAAAGTTAGCTTGAATCAACTAATTCATCAAAAGATGGGTACTTACTTGTAGGGATCATCAAGAATGTTAGTTCTTGATAATGCCAGATGCAACTGATGGAACAGCTACAAATGATGTTACAATGGATCGGTCATTCACAATTTCCACCTCTCAGAAATTATCAAAGTATATCAACTAGAACATCTCAATATTTATTAGTCCTTTACTCTCGAAACATAAATTATGAATCTTATAAAATTATGATTCACTCACTTGGACATAATTTTTATATATATCTTTTATACAGAATTTAGATAATTTATTTTTCTAAAATAAATGCTCGAGATTTATTTACTTTTTATTTTTTTTAAATATAGTTTTTTTATTTAAAATGTCTTAATAAATTTTAACCATTTATAATGAAGAGATAATTAACATTTCATATAAGTAATATGTATAAATTTTTTTTTGATTTAAAAAATCATAATAAATTTCAATTATTTATAATGAAGAGATAATTAACATTTAATATAAGTGATATGTATAAAAATTATATAAGTGGATACTATTAATTATGATTGGAAAATGATTTAGGGATAATTTTTTTGTATAGCTTTGTGTATAACTTTATGTGTCATTTAAATAATTAATTTTTTTTATTTATTTAAAACTCATTATATTAAATATATCTATTTATTTAATGATAATTAAAAGTTATATAAAAAAATGTATAAAAAATTATCACTATATCACCGCTCAAAGTCTACTAAGCTCAATGTTTTACAAATTTCAAATTGGCATAACTTCCAAATCCACCCCTCAAATAAGAGGGTAGGAACGAATCCTCCCAAAAAAAATACAAGAACAAATTACTTCTCTAAATTATTGATAAAAACAAATTATTAATTATTTAACATAATATATGATGTCATCATACGTCAAAATTTCATGCCTCTTAATTATTTTTTAATGAAAAGTTAACATGTGATGACGTTAAGATTATCTATCCTTACACCTATTTAAAGGATAGATTTAGAGGTTTTGCCTTTCAAATTTTTGTTTTAACAAAAATTCAGTATTCTCATATGAAAAATGAATTTTCGTCCTGTAACAAATGGCTCTAAACAGTTCGAAATATATATCCTCGCCATCCAAATTTCAACATGCATTCTCAACAATAAAGTCAATACATAATTTTTCCAATACCTTAATTAAGCAAAACTCAAAATTCACAATTATATCAAGTCGCTAAAACCATGTCCTACCAAAAAAAAAGAAAAAAAGTCACAATAATAAATACCACATCCACAATAGCATACCTGTAAGGATAGGTCCGAGGACCTTAACTTTGGACGTACTGCTATAGTTCCTTAATAACCGAAGTGAAATTAAATCCAGCACTTCCCGGTCAAATTACTGCATGATAAGCACAGTGAACATGCCCACATGTGATTTATCACACATAATTTTCCAGTCCTGAAATTATCGCCTGAGGGACACGTCACACTCCGATTATCTTGTTAAGCAAGCCACGTGGACACCTCACTAAGACCTATAAATACTCCTTAGGGGCCACCTCAGAAAGGTAATTGAGACCGACCTAAAGCTCCTTTTTCCATTCTTCTAAAGGTAGATTCGATTATTGTTGACTTAAGTATCGGAGTGTTTACCCCGAAGACCCACCTCGGGGCTTTGCAGGTTCATCCAGAGTGAAGACGTGGACTGAAGAAGGACTTTTGGTTTGGTGCAATTACATTGGTGCCATTTGTGGGAACCCGAACTAAAAGCTCCTTTATTGCTTTCTCATCATGGTCAACACTTGATCTGTCTGAGCTAGAAATTAGGCTTAACCTCTTGGAAAAGGTCAAGGTCAATACCCCAACAACCTCCCACCTCACTTCCCACCTCACCTCCCACCTCAGATCCCAAACCTATTCCCTCCTGTTGAACATGCAGAAGGAGGAGATGAAAACCAACCTTATAACTCAGCCCACAACTCAGCTTCCACTTCTAATCAAGGAGATGTAGTCACAGCTTAGCTTGCTGCTATGCAACAGCAGTTCGGTGTCTTTCAATTGGTTTTGGCTCAGCTCTTAGCTTGGAATAATCTTGGTGATCCCCTCATCAATCTACTTAACCCTACTCAACAACCCCTTGTTCAACAACAAGACCCTCAACCAGTTCAACATGCTCCTGCTCTTAGTGAGTCTCAGGGTCAGTCTCACGTAGCCCCAGCTCAACAACCTCTACCTGATGATGTCACACGACGTTTGGACAGCTTAGAAAAATTGGTAGCCGAGCAGCCAGATGCCCCACCTCCACACCATAACACTGATTCCATACCTCATCCTTTGAACACTAATATTACATTGGAACCTTATCCCACTAGTTTCAAAATACCTCAGCTCGAGACATATGATGGAACGAAGGATCCAGATGATCACCTCTATGCCTTCTAATCCTGTATGCAAACTCAGAATGCCTCTGATGCGTTGATGTGCAAAATCTTTCCCTCCACTCTCCGCGGTAATGCTCGAACTTGGTATTATAGTTTGCCTCCGAAATCTAACAGCTCTTTTACAAAAATGACATTTGCTTTTGCTACAAAGTTTTTCAATAGAAGGTTAATTAGGAAAACCACTTTTAAACTGATGTGAGTTAAACAGAGGGACAGAGAATCCTTGAAGAATTACATGAGTAGGTTCAATGATGTTGTTCTCAAAGTTAGCTCATTCAACTAAACCATAGGAATTGCGGCTGTAATTCAAGGTCTCCAACACGAGAGATTCAGAGATAGCTTAATTAAGCATCCTGTTGCCACTTTTAATGCGGTTAATGACAGATCCTTGAAATTTATAACTGCTGAGGAATATGCCTTATCACAGAAACCAGTTCTCCCTAAGAATCAAAACCCAGATTGGAGAAATGAGGGTCAGAGCAAAAATTGGATGAAGATAGTACAGAGCCGAGGTCCGATGTCGACCTCCACATCGAGATTCGAAAAGCTGAACTCGGTACCCCCCAATAGATTACCAATAAGCACTAGTTACATGGACTCCTTTCAATCTGCCGAGGTAGTAGATATTCATGCAGATTAAGAATAAGATAGATTTGAGGCGACCAGGGCCGATGAGAAGTTCTGCTGCTACACGTGATCATATTAGATAACGATCATACAACGGAGTAGTGTAATAATCTGAGGTCTGAATTGGAAAGTCTAGTTCAGAAGGAAATGCTAAATGAATACATCCAGAGAATAGAGCAACCAAAGTTTGTTAGAGAGCAGGGGCCACAATCACAAGGATCTTGTAATGCAGGAAACAGGCAAGGTGTGGATACCAACAAGCCCCACCTCTACTCTTGCCACCGGCTAGAATTATATATATGATTATGGAAGGATTGGAAGTAGGGGGTTTGAGCTTCAAACAATGAAAATTGTATGTCAGGGAGGTGAAACATCAAAACCAAGCTGAGAAACGAAAGTTTGACGACGTTGACTGGAAGAATCAACCCATCACTTTCACACCTGCTGACTTCGATACAGTTTTCACACCTCATAATAATCCTTTGGTCACTTCCGTTATGATTAACAGTTGTGAGGTACAACGTGTCCTTGTTGACGTAGGGAGTGCATTAGACATTATGTATTTTCACTGTTTTGAGAGTTTCAAACTAGATCCAACTCTGTTGCAGAGGTACGATGGTCCCATATATGGATTCAATAACCAACCTGTTCAGGTAGAAGGAGTCCTTACCCTTAATGTTGCTTTTGGGAGCGGCCGAACTTATGTTACCCCTTCAGTTCGGTTTCTAATTGTCAAAATGGCATCCTCCTTCAATGCTGTTATCGGACGACCTACATTAACTGAGATCCGAGCTGTGGTCTCTCAATCTCACATCTGCATGAAGTTCCTAACCTCTATGGGGATAGCAACACTACGAGGTAACTAGGAGGTGGCTAGATATTGCTATATTACCTCGGTTACAAGGCCTTAGAAAAGCAAAGATCAGACATCAGAAACCATTCCCCAACAAGTTCATGATAATCAGCAAGTGATAGGGGTAGAGATAATAGACAACCAACCTGAAGATGAAACTAGAGCTACCCTAGTTGAGGATGTAGAGGAAGTGCAACTTGATGACAGATATCAAAACAGGACGACACATATTGGAACTCGGTTGAACCCAAAGGAAAGAGCAGAGCTAATAGCTTTCCTCCAAGCTAACAAAGATGTCTTCACTTGGATCTCAACAGACATGACAGGGGTTCCAACCTTGGTATCTTAGCACAAGCTCAACACCAATCCATTGAAGAAACCAGTAGCCCAGAAGTGGCGCCTTTTGGGGGGGAGAGGCTTAAGGTTATAAAGGAAGAAGTAGACAAACTCCTGTAAGCTGGCTTCGTCAGAAAAGTTGATTATTGTGAATGGGTGGCTAACCCAGTGCTGGTCAAGAAGGCAAATGGTAAATGGCGAATGTGCATCGATTACACAAATCTCAACCAATCTTGCCTTAAAGACTGTTATCCAATGCCAAACATTGACAAACTGGTTGAAGCGGCTTTTGGAAATGAGAGATTAAGTCTCTTAGATGCATATTCTAGTTACCACCAGGTGCCGATGGCTCCGGAAGATAAAGAGAAAACCTCGTTCTATGCAAGTGATGAAATTTATTGCTATGTCATGATGCCCTTTGGCCTAAAGAACGCATGTGCCACTTACTAGAAGATGGTGACCATCGTATTCCGAGCTCAAATTGGCAGGAATCTGGAAGTTTATGTCGATGACATTGTGGTGAAGAGTCTGAAAGTAAAAGATCATCTAGTTGACCTCGATGAAACATTCAACAACCTCAGAAAGAACAAAATGCAGTTAAACCCAGCAAAATGCATCTTCGGTGTGGAGTTGGGGAAATTTCTAGGCTTCATGGTTTCCCAGAGGGGGATTGAGGTTAACCCAGAAAAGATCAAAGCAATAATCGAGATGGAACCGCCGAAGTCGGTGAAAGATATATAGAGATTAACTGGAAGGGTGGCAGCTCTTCATAGATTCATATCAAAATCAGTAGATAAGTGCTTGCCATTCTTCAAGATCATGAGATCAGTGGCCTAGAAGGATGACTCTGGCAAACAGAAGAAGTTTGCATGTAACTCAGAATGCCAGGTTGCATTCGAGGAGCTGAAGTTTCATCTTAGTTCACCCCCTTTGCTAACAAAAGCTATAGACGGAGAAATACTTTATTTGTACCTCGGTATTTCTGATGAAGCAATTAGTTCAGTGTTGGTGAGAGAAGAGGGCAAACAACAGAAACCAGTTTATTATACCAGTAGCGTGCTACACAGAGTGAAGCTGAGATACCCTATCGTTGAGAAAGTAACGTTAGCAGTTGTTACTTCAGCCAAAAAGTTGAGACCATATTTCTCATCACACCCAATCATAGTTCTCATAGACCAACCTCTTCGACAGATCCTTTAGAAGCCAAAATGCTCAGGAAGGTTGATTAAATGGGCTGTAGAGCTGGGGGAATTTGAGATAACATTTCAACAAAGGTCAGCAATTTGAGCTCAAGCACTCGCAGATTTTATTGTAGAATGCACTCCAGCTCTTCCGAATTCTAACTTCGAGTTAAGCAGCTGGATCCTATATGTTGATGGAGCCTCAAGTAACAAGGGCTTAGGAGCTGGTGCTTTCTTAGTTGGCCTAGATGGATATCGAAGTGAGCATGCTTTGAAATTTAACTTCGATGTGACTAATAACATGGCTAAGTACGAAGCTCTGCTACTTGGTTTGCAACTAGCATTGGAGCTGAAAGTAATGGCCATACAAGTATACAGTGACTCGCAGCTAGTGGTTAATCAAGTCAACTCAGTCTGCGAGGTCATTGATTTTGTTATGATGAAGTATGTAGCCTTGGTGGCTGAGCTGAAGTGCAAGTTCCAAAAATTTTGTTTCAGCAAAATTTCTCGAACTGAGAATGAACAAGCAGATTCGCTTTCTAAGTTCGCCTCTGATAACTCCTTAAGCTCCAGATCAATTTTCGTTAAAGTTTTAGATGAGCCGAACTTCATGAAGCCGAGAATGATGGAGATTAGTACAGACCTGAATACATCGAGCTGGATAGATCCAATTGTCTCTTTTTTATGAGATGGGTCAGTGCCTGCAGATAAGTAGGAAGAGATGAGGTTGAGAAAGAAAGCGTCTTGATACACACTCATTGATGGGGTCCTCTATAAGAGATCTTTCTCACTCTCTCTCCTATAATGCTTGAATCCTTATGAAGTTGAGTACGCACTTCGGGAGGTACATGAAGGTGTATGCGGAAGCCAAATTGGTGTTAGAACCCTCGCTCACAAAGTCCTCAGACAAGGATATTACTGGCTGAATATGTATAAGGATGCTACTCACTGTACAGAGATGCCCAAAGTGCCAATTCTTTGCACATTTAACTCACCAACCGGCAGAAGAGCTCACCAACTTGGTGGCACCATGGCCATTTGCCCAATGGGGACTTGATCTTTTAGGCCCATTCATGAAGGGGGTCGGAGGTGTAACCCATCTGATCGTTGGTGTGGACTATTTCATGAAATGGGTTGAAACTCGGCCATTATCCAGTCTTACTTATAGAAAGGTCGAAGACTTTGTTTTCAGCTCAATCATCTGTAGATATGGAATCCCGAATCAGATTGTGGTTGATAATGGTACTCAGTTTAACTACTCTTCATTCAAAGATTTCTACTCCAGTTACGGGATCAAACTTACAATTTACCTCAGTATACCATCCGGAGTCCAATGGTATGGTCGATTCTGTCAATAAAGCTATCATCGAGGGGATAAAGCTGAGGTTGGAGCAACACAAGGCCAGATGGGCAGATGAGCTCAACAACGTCCTCTGGGCATATAGAAACTATGAGCGGAACTGCCACATGTACTACTTCCAACCCATGTAAATTCCATTCTCTTTTATTTTCTCTTCTGCGGCTTTACCCTAGATCAAATATGTACAACATATAAAGCGTATTCTAAAAACTATAACTTAATGAAACAGGTGAAACATCCTACCACCTGGCCTTTGGTATCGAAATAGTCATTCCCATTGAAATAGGAGTACCAAGCTTCAGGATCACCCATTTCGATGAAGGACGAAATGGAAAACTGCTTCGGGAGAACTTTGATATGCTTGACGAAGTCCAAGAAGAAGCATGACTTTGCACTCTGGTATACAAGCAGAAACTAGCCAAGTTCTATAACAAGCGAGTCCACTCTTGAACCTTCAAAGTAGGAGACCTTATTCTCAGAAAAGTTGGCCTAACGGGGTTTGAAACTCGTTTTGGTAAATTAGGCCCGAATTGGGAAGGGCCTTACATAGTGGTCGAAGTGCCACATCTTGGCGCCTATATCCTCCAAGACGCTGAAAAGAAGAGAGTTCTTAGAATCTGAAATATCAATAACTTGAAGAAATTTTATGCTTAATACACTTCTTTCAAGTGATCTATGTCTTATTCTTCTTTATAAGTATTACTTCTTCATTCCGAGATCCATTTCATCTTGATGCACTAAAATCACCCTAGCAAGTGTACTAGTCGCTTCAAGTAATATAATGATGAATAGAGTGTCGAACCCACGAGGATTGTGTCTAATTAAGTACCAAAATAATTAATCCAAATTTATTTGAACAACCAAATGGAAAGAAAGTTTAACTAAAAAAATAATAAAAAGAAAATAACAAATAAACCTAACCAAGATAAGAGGTACTAAGGCATTGATTTCACCATAATCAATCAATATAAATTCTGGATTACTAAATTGTTGAGTGTTATTGCATGTGATGGCG